AGAACGAACAAAGTTGCTTCCCCTTTGATGTCTTATGGGAGGAGCCAAGCCTTACTCCTGAGTCACTCCTTTTGTTTTAACTGTTCTTGCCTTCTGGCAGCTCTGAGCATGCACGCCCTGGGAACAGGCTCTCCCTGTTCCTCTGCCTTACTGATGTCCAATTCTGGGGGGTCTGGAAGTAGCAAATGACTCCCAGATGGCCCTCGCCCCTCTCTGCCTCTGACGCAGAGCTCTCGTCCAAGCCTTTCCCAGACTCCACGACTGGCCCATATTCCTCCCCAACCTCCTCACTATATGACTCTGCTGCCAGCTCCGCAGGCCGCCAGTGGACCACAACACCTGCTTGGGCAAGTGGTCGGTCTAGAAGACCTCCATGGTCCCTTCCAACTCTATTATTCTCTGTCATATGCACTATTTGTAAAAATAATTGCTCCACATCCATTTCTTCCCCATCCTAGCCCAGTGGCTGAAACTCAGTGGGAGGCTCTTCCAAAGGGCGGGGGGGGGGAGGGCATAGCTATAGAGAAAGACGCCTTTCTTTTTCGGCAACATTATGAAGCGGCTTCAGAAGCCAGAGAAGAGCCTCGGCGTTTATTTAGCTCAACTTAATTGAGTTTCTGCAAGGCTAGCTAAGGAATTGTTCAAGTCTTTGGTGTCAGGTAATTTGGTGCTCGCAGCTTGCCAACTCAATTCCTTGACTCATCACTTCTTTCAGCAGACAGCCAAGAAACTCAGCAAGATAATCAACAAAAACAGAAGAGAGGTGCGGGAGAAACTGGGGAAAGGGATAAACTGGCAGCCCAAAGCTGCAAAGGTGTTTTGATCAGCCTGAAAGTATTTATCATGGCCCCTCAGCGAAAGCGGGAAGCAGGTCAGCTTTCTCTGCTCCTTGTTACCAGCGTGTTGTGGCCGCCAGCTGGCAGCAGAGTCAGACAGTGAGGAGGTTGGGGAAGAACATGGGGCAGTCCTAGAGGCTGGGGAAGGCTCGGATGAGGGCCCTGCATCGGAGGCAGAGAGGGGGCCCAGGCCGTCTGGCAGTTCTCAGCTGTCTTCAGAGCTAGACAGCAGTGAGGCAGAGGAACAGCTGGAACCTGTTCCCAGTATGCGCATGCACAGAGCTGCCAGGAGAAGGGAACAAGGGTCGACTCAGCAGTAAAGCCACAGGTGGACGGTGAATGGCCCCTCCCATAGGGAATAAAGAGAAGTGAAAGGGGAGTGGAGTTTGTAGGAGACAATTAGTTCGCTTAATTAGTGTGAAGGTATGTTCGTGACTCTCAGAGACTCTGTGCCAAGACTTTCCTTGCACAACACCTCACTTGGGAAATATTGACATGGCAGCTTTCCAAGCTAGGTAAGGTCTGTGGTCATAACTTCACCTTTGAAAGACTGTTTGCCAGGCCTTTGCTGAATGGGAATGAGAGGAATTCACATTCGTTTAATAAAAGGGGTTTCGTCAGGACCAGGAATCTGCTTCGTGCTTTTTGGGGAAGCCTCGGTCAGAACAAAGCGTTCTTGGAGGGAGGTCTCCAACGGCTTGTTGGGGCAACTACAACAGAAGTATCAGCCATTGCAAACACTATCAAATGATAGAAGATAATATTTGTAGCTCAGGGTTAAACTGCAAGGTCCTTGGTGCTTTCTGAGTTTGGTGGTTTTCTTGCAAACGTTTCATTTACCTGACTGGGTAACAACATCAGTGCTAAAAAGGAGGAGGGTTTGCTCAGAGAGCAGCACTAAGGATCTCATAAAAATATTTCTTCCCTAGAACTGACTTAAACGCATTCTACCCCAAAATAGTGGCTAAGATATAAGGCCTGGCCTAGCTTAATCTCTCTATATAAAAGCCAAATACCACTCACTCATCACGAAATCTCCTGAATTGTAAAGCCTACAAACTTGAAATTCGGCACATACAGTATGTTCCTCTTGGCTTCTAGGTGCTTGCTAAGAAAGGATTTTTTTGAAATAACCATCTGATCATCAGTATTTCTCATACAGTATTTTATTAACACGTGTCAATGGTAAGGAATTAGACGTTCTACTCCCTCTCCCCACCTGAAAGGAACTCTGTTCCAACTGCCAGTTTCCTTATATGGGTGTGGCCAGCATGTGACTCATCCAGCCTATGGGCTGGGAGTTCAGACATTCTATTCCCCCTCCCCACCTGAAAAGAACACTGTTCCAACTGCCAGTTTCCTTATATAGGTGTGGCCAGCATGTGACTCATCCAGCCTGTGGGCTGGGAGTTCAGACATTCTACTCCCCCTCCCCACCTGAAAAGAACTCTGTTCCAACTGCCAGTTGCCTTATATTAACATGCTCTGATGCAAAGGAGTTACACATTCTACATTAATTTTCAAGCTTTAAGTGTCAATGTCAATACATCAAGTCCGATCACATAGTTTTGTAGCGAAGCACGGGTATCCAGCTAGTGCCCATATACATTAAGCTGCTTTTTGCCAGTGAACGTGATGTGAGCTTAACTTCTAGCTACTCTAGCTAAATTAACAGTATAATTTATCATTTTATGCATCACATAGATCCATGGTGGCACAGTGGTTATAATGCAATACTGCAGGCTACATCTGCTGACCGTCGGTTGCCAGCAGTTCGGCAGTTCGATTCTCACCAGGCTCAAGATTGATTCATACTCCCATCCTTCCGAGGTGGGTAAAACGAGGACCCAGATTGTTGGGGGCAATAGGCTGACTCGGTGAACAGCTTAGAGAGGGCTGTAAAAGCACTGTGAAGCAGCATGTTAAGTCTAAGTGCTATTGCTATTCACCCTCCTTAGTGGCTGCGTTTGAACAATTCGAGCTCATGTAGCCAGACTGATTGAAGGAAAGAAGAAAGATTTATACGAAGAGCGGAATCACACAGAGAGGGCTGGTAAGGACAGCAGCTGAGAGAGGAGGAGAGGCAATTCTCACAGCAGCTGGAGACCAACCATCGCTTTGAGGGGAGGAGGGGAGAAAGAAGCAAAAAGAGCTCCGAAAGAGATTTAAGGGATGGAAAAGGATGAAAAAGAACCAAGTCGGAATCCCATTGAAGAGAGAGAGAGAGAGAGAAAAAAACCTTCCCAAAGCTACAGCAATAATGGCAGGAGAGGCTCCAACACCGAGTAAAGCTTAGCCTTTAACAAAACCTTAACAGAACAGAACAGAACAACATAGGAAAGGACCTTGGAGATTTTCTAGTTCAACCCCTTGCTAAAGCAGGAGACCCTATTGCCATTTCAGACAAATGGTTGTCCAATCCCTTCTCAAAAACCTCCAGTGATGGAGCACTGACCATTTCTGGAGGCAAGCCGTTCCACTGTTTAATTGTTCTCACTGTTAGGAAATTTCTCCTCAGTTCTAAGTTGCTTCTCTCCCTGATTAGTTTCCACCCATTGCTTCTTGTCCTGCCCTCAGGTGCCTTGGAAAATAGTTTGACTCCCTCTTCTTTGTGGCAACCCCTGAGATATTGGAACACTGCCATCATGTCTTCCCTAGTCCTTCTTTTCTCTACATTAGCCATGCCCAGTTCCTGCAACCGTTCATCGTATGTTTTAGCCTCCAGTCCCCTAATCATCTTTGTTGCTCTTCTCTGCACTCTTTCTAGAGTCTCCACATCTTTTTTATAATATGGCAAGCAGAACTGGATGCAGTATTCCACCTGATCTTGATTCTGTTCCTTTGTTAATGCAATCTAGGATTGCATTGGCTTGTTTCCTTTTCCTCCACTGTTACATTTGGACTATTTTTTTCTACCTTGATACGTCTGTCTGTCTTTTCCCTCCGCTTTTATTGTTTTTACAAATAACTCAAGATGGCAAACATACTCAATTCACTTTCCTCCTCCTATTTTCCCCACCCACAAGCCTATGAGATGGATTGTGGTGAGAGCGAGTATCGGGCACGAAAGTTCACACCTGAAGGTCCAATTAAACTAAACCTTATTGCGATTCATGCCTACACACAGGAATCTTGTCAATTAATGGTTAGCACCTGCTTGGTGTTAGATAAGGGTACATGGAATTCAAAGGATTTAGTCCACTTGTGGCAACGTAGAGATTCTAGGTTGATTCCTCTTTTGACTCTGCCCCCAGGCTCTGATTTTCCTTTTTTTCTACACTGGCCCACAATCACCTAGCCATCTTTCACACCCTAAGGCAAAACTTGTACTCCTTGCATCCCGGTGATAGGACCAAAGTCACACCGCTGGCTTTCACGCCTAAGGTGGAACTAGAACTCACAAGCTCCTGATGATTGGCCTAGGAATGAGTTGCTTGGCTGAAGAACCACCAACTTCAGCTGAGATCTGAAAAATGCACTTGTGTGTCAAATAACCAAAGGAAGTTCCACAGGATCACAGAGGGGGAGGAAGAGAGGGAGGGAGAGAGGAAGGGAGGGAGGGAGAGAAGGAGAGGGAGAGAGAGAGAGAACATTCAACTGGGAATGAAAGGAAAGATTACCTGTTTCACCAGAGTGACGGTTCCTGGGGCCATGGCAACTACAGAAGCAAGAGCATCATGGGGCTCTGATCCCAGCTCTATGATTTGCTGGAGGATGTTGACAGCCGTGGCATCGAGCCTTCCTCCTTGTGGGGGGAAGAAGCATTAAGATTAACATTGTGAGCAGGATGCAAACTTTGTGCTACTGTTACCATCATTCCCTTTGCTCAGCTTTCCGTACTGCATAGCCTATACCAGGGGTCTGCAAGCTTGGCAACTTTAAGACTTGTGGACGTCAACTCCCAGAATTCCTGGCTGAGGAATTCTGGGAGTTGAAGTCCACAAGTCTTTAAAGTTGCCAAGCTTGCAGACCCCTGGTATAAGGTATGCAGTCCAGAAAGCTGAGCAAAGGGAATGGTGGTAACAGTAGCACAAAGTTTGCATCCTGCTCACAATGTTAATCTTAATGCTTCTTCCCCCCACAAGGAGGAAGGCTCGATGCCACGGCTGTCAACATCCTCCAGCAAATCATAGAGCTGGGATCAGANATTTTATTTGTCGCGCTGCTGATGACGTCACGAGAGCGCTTTGATCGGGCGCGCTTTAGTGGACCGCGGTTTTGACGGGTCACGGGTCAGAACACCTTTTGACCCATGGATTATAGCATCTCTTTGGACCAATGGATCACAACAGATCCTTGGATCAATAAATCATAGCGGCTCTTTCGACCAAGGGATCATAACATCTGTTGGACCAATGGATCATAGCAGCTCTCCAGAGGAAGCATCTTCCCATCCAAAAACAAAGTTGCACCCTGTCCTTCACAGACCAACCCCAAAAGGACCCCCCTCGGCCGTACCAGACAAATTCGTGGCAAACAGAACAGAACGTGGGCTGGGGAAAGAAAGTGGCTGTAAACTCGTGGCACTTGACATTATGAATCTTCGCTTGCTTGATGGCCCCTCTCCTCTGATGCAGGGAGAAAAAACCTTCCTTTTCACAGTCGATAAACTCTGGGTCATCTGAGTAAGAAAGAGAACCAAGAAATTCAGTGGTCAGGACATGAATATAAATAAGGCATATTTAAAACAGTTGGCAAAGGTGTGAAGAAACACCCCGATTCATAAGAATAACCAGGCACACTTCCTAAAATCTTTAGAGCCCCCGTTACCGTCAGCAGAATGTTAACGGTGCTTCTGTTATTTCTGAACTTCACCAGAAATGTGTTTGATGGGGGAGAGATAATACTTTTCTTGGTCCCCCCCCAATAAAAAAATTCCCGCTTGTGAAAAAACTAGCATGTTCAGAAGAACAGAGTTTGTTTAAATTTGGGCTGTATGAACTGGATATCTTCATGTAAGGTAAAGGTTCCCCTCGCACATATGCACTAGTCGTTCTTGACTCTAAGGGGCGGTGCTCATCTCCGTTTCAAAGCCGAAGAGCCAGCGCTGTCCGAAGACGTCTCCGTGGTCATGTGCCTGGCATGACTCAATGCCGAAGGCGCACAGAACACTCTTCCCTTCCCACCAAAGGTGGTCCCTATTTTTCTACTTGCATTTTATATGTTCTTTCAAACTGCTAGAAGCTGGGACGAGTCACGGGAGCTCGCTCCGTTACGCAGCGCTAGGGATTCGAACCGCCGAACTGCCGGCCTTTCTGATCGACAAGCTCAGCGTCTTAACCACTGAGCCACCACATCCCTTGATCTTCGTGTCGGGTGCATTACATACAATCTCCATACTCTAAAATGCTGACTTCATAAAGCAAAAAAAATGCTGGATGTTGCCAGACAACAATTCCCATCATCCTGAATTGATTTTGCTGAGGCTGATGGGCATTGCAACTCAGAACTAGGAGAAATTTCCTGACAGTGAGAACAATTAATCAGTAGAACAACTTGCCTCCAGATATTGTGAATTTAAGACTGGAAGTTTTAAAGAAGATGTTGGATAACCATTTGTCTGAAGTGGTGTAGGGTTTCCTACCTGAGCAGGGGGTTGGACTAGAAGACCTCCAAAGTCCCTTCCAACTCTGTTATCCTATTCTATTTCTATTGCTAAAGTCAGCAGTCCCCAAACTGAGATATTAACTAGGACAGTGTTTCCCAAATCCTGGCAGCTTGCTGGCTGGGGAATTCTGGGATTTGAAGTCCAGCCATCTTAAAGGTGACAAGATTTAGGAAACCCTAAACCAGTGTTTCTCAACCTTGGCAACTTGAAGATGGCCCAGTTCATACAACACAAGTTGTGAACTTTGCTGCCTTCCCACAAACTCCTACGTCCCATTTTAGTGTCTATGGAGGTTCTCAGTCCTCCAGGTCGAGGTTGTCCCAAAAGTGCTTTTTTTTTTTTTTTTAAAGGGGCAACTGGACTTTCTTTTTCCTTTTGAAGACGTTTCGCTTCTCATCCAAGAAGCTTCTTCAGCTCTGACTGGATGGTGGGGAAAGGAAGGATTTATGCTCCTTGCAGACACAGCTGGTTAAACTTTTGGGCAGGGATGGGGTGAAATGCTAAAAGGCCTTGAAAAGAACACGAGTGGAATTGATACTTGCCAGTACTTTCCAAAAAGTATCTTGCGTTCATTAACATCCTTCCTTGGGGTTTTAGCTCCAGCTGGAAAAGAAGACAAAGAAATAGAATTTAGAAAGGAAAATGGGAAGGCAATCAGAGATTTTTTTTTAAAAAAAAAAACCAGAGAGTTCTTTTTTAATAATGCAGCCAGTCCAGGTTTTGCTAGAGAAGTGGGGTTTTACAAATGGAGAAAGGATGGGAGGGAGGGAAGAAAGGAAAAGGAAGAAGACAGAGAGAAAGAAAGAGGAAGGGAGGGAGAGAGGAAAGGAGGGAGGGAGGAAGAAAGAAAGAAAGAAAGAAAGAAAGAAAGAAAGAAAGAAACAGAAAGAAGAGAGAGCAAGGGATGGA